ATTTTTTATTCCACTCAAATGAAAACGCTGTGGCTCAGGAGAGCAGCGCAGTTACTCACGGCCTCATCCCCCTCCTTCTGTGGGAGTGGAAGTCAACATCAGATGATTTAAAACAAAACAGGAAAACCACGTTTTTGACATTAGGGCTAATTTCTCTGAACTCAAATGCTATTGTACCAAAGGAAAAATGAAAACAGTTTGACCAGCCCTGAAATTAATTTATTTCTATGCCCCAAACGCACAGCACTTGGTAGAAAGAGAAAGGTGCTTAGACGTCTGCTCTCACCTTGGCTATTTGCTGATTTACATGGGGAAATGCCTTCCTAGTGAGACAATCTATCATCATCATCATCGTCATCGTCACTGTCATTATCATCATTGTCATTGTCATTGTCATCAATGTCATCACTGTCATCACTGTACTAATGTCACCATTGTCATTGTCATAGCCGTCATCATCATTGTCACTGTCATTGTCATCATCATTGTAGTGTCATTGTCATAGTCATCATCAGTGTCATCATCATTGCTGTCATTGTCATCATCAATGTCATTGTCATCATCAGTGTCATAGTCATCATCATTGTCATCATCATCAGTCATTATCATCACTGTCGTCATCATCATGTGTCATCATTGCTATCATTATTGTCATCAATGTCATTGTCATTGTCGTGTCATTATAGTCATCATTGTCATAGCCATCATCATCATCAATGTCATTGTCATCATCGTCAGTGTCATCATTGCTGTCATTATTGTCATCATCAATTATCATCATTAGTGTCATAGTCATTGTTATAGCCATCATCATCATCAATGTCATCATAACCAATGTCATCATCATCACTGTCATTGTCATTGCTGTCACTGTCATCAATGTCATTGTCATCGTCAGTGTCATTGCTGTCATTACTATCATCATCAATTGTCATCATCATCAGTGTCATAGTCATCATTGTCATAGCCATCATCATCATCAATGTCATTGTCATCACCAATGTCATCATCGTCACTGTCATTGTCATTGCTGTCACTGTCATCAATGTCATTGTCATCATCGTCAGTGTCATCATTACTGTCATTATTGTCATCATCAATTGTCATCATCAGTGTCATAGTCATCATCATTGTCATTGTCATTATCGTCAATGTCATTATCATCACTGTCATTGTCATCATCAGTGTCATCATCATTGCTGTCATTGTCATCAATGTCATTGTCATCATCAGTGTCATCATTGCTGTCATTGTCATCATCATCAGTGTCATAGTCATCATCATTGTCATTGTCATTATCATCAATGTCATCATCACTGTCATTGTCATCGTCATAATCATTGTCATTGTCATCATCATCATGTGTCATTGTCATCATTGCCATCATTGTCATTGTCATAGTCATCAGTGTCATTGTCATCACTGTCATTGTCATCGTCACTGTCATAGTCATCATTGTCAATGTCATTATCATCACTGTTGTCACCATCGTCATCATTATTGCTGTTGTCATCATTATTGCCATCATAATCGTCATCACCACCACCATCATCAACGTCATCGTGGCCATCACACCTGTCACTGTGGTGAAGGTCACGTCAGGAAATGCACCCAAGGTTTTCCTGTGCTGCCAAGTGCCCCTCGTGTCTCAGGCTCTATTACAAATCAGAAAGTAAAGTGTCAAATTGTCCCTATTTGCAGGTGGTATGATCTTATATGTAGAAAATCCTAAAGACTCTACCAAAAATCTTTGTAATTGTTAAATGAATTTAGTGAAGATAAAAAATTAATATATAATATCAGTAGCATTGCTCTACATGAACAACAAAATAGTTAAGAAAGAAATCAAGAAGATAATGCCATTTACAATAGCTACAAAAAACTGAAATGCCTAGGAGTTAATTTAAGAAGTGAAAGGCTTCTATAAGGAAAACCACAGAACACAAAACATTGAAGGGGACAAAACAAATGGAACGACATCCCATACTCATGGATCCCTGAATACTGTTAAAATGACCATAGTGGGGGTCCAAAGTGGCTCCCGCCAGAGGTCGTGGCACTCGCGAAGGCGAGGTCATGAGTTCAAGGCTAACCTGAGCAACCTCATAAGCTCAAACTGATTGGCAAAAAATAAATAAATAAATAAATAAAAATAAAATAAAATGACCGTAGTGTCTAAAGCAATCTACACATTAAACACGATCTCTACCAAAATGCCAATGACATTCTTCACAGAATTAGAAAAATCTTAAAATTTGTATAGAACCAGAAAAAACTCTGAATAGCCAAAGCAATCCTGAGCAAAGGCGCAAAGCTGACACTACAAGACTTCAAATATATACTGCAAAACTGTAGTCACCGAAGCCTCCTATGTCCCTGCACGTCCGGGATGCACAGGAGTGAACAGGCAGCCGGTGCCTGGCCTTCCAGAAGCCACACCCTGGCTGCAGAAACTCAGTCAGCATGCAGACAGATGGGACACCAGCAAACATTCCAGAGAGGAAGGTTATGAAGCCCCCATGTGAGACACCAGGGCGGGTTCAAAAGCCATCCAGCCATATCAGCTGAGCATGCAGCACTTGGAGCAGGGCATGGGCCTGACGTGGAGACAGGGGACGGGGGTCTGCAGAGATGACGGCAGCTCCGTGGGAAGAGGGCCTGAAGTGGCTGTGGCAAACTGACTGACATTTCTGGATGGCAATTTGGCACATGGTTTAAGGAGTCTTTAAAAATTCTTGCTCTTCCAACTAGTTGTTTGAAGGAGATGACAGAAAGGGGCTGATCCAAAATGCTGGAAAAAGAAGGATGACTAAGGAGATTATCCCAGGGTTGCTGACGGTGACCAAAAATAATAGGACCTTCCACAATGGTTGAACTGGTTTACACTCTCACCAACAGTGCAAAAGCATTCCTGTTTCTCCACATTCTTTCCAGCATCTCAATTCTTCACGGATCTAGAACTAGAAATACCACTTGACCCAGCAATCCCATTACTGGATATATACCCAAAGAATTATAAATCGTTCTATTATAAAGACAAAAGCACACGTATGTTTACTGCGGCACTGTTCACAATAGCAAAGACCTGGAACCAACCTAAATGCCCACCAGTGATAGACTGGATAAAGAAAATGTGGCACACATACACCATGGAGTACCATACAGCCATAAAAAAGATGAGTTCATGTCCTTTGCAGGAACATGGATGAAGCTGGAAGCCATCATTCTCAGCAAACTAACACAAGAACAGAAAACCAAACACCGTATGTTCTCACTCATAAGTGGGAGTTGGGCAATGAGAACACAAGGACACAGGGAGGGGAACATCACACACCAGGGCCTGTCGGGGGACGGGAAGCTAGGGGAGGGATAGCAGTAGGAGAAATACCTAATGTAGATAGCAGGGTGATGGATGCAGCCAACCACCATGGCCTGTGTATACCTACGTAACAAACCTGCACGTTCTGCACATGTACCCCAGAACTTAAAGTACAATAAAAAAGGAACTTATATACGTATATATATAACGTACAGGCTCCAGAGAGGTTCATGGGAGATATGGTAGATGGTATTAGAAGGAAAACGTTTCCATCAAATACTCCGTCACATGTAAGTTTCCACTGAAAAGGCTAACACAAAACCGTATATACTGTAATATATGTAGTGTGTAGAAAGGTCTAGCACAAAACCATATATACTATAATATGTATAGTGTGTATACTTTAGAAACTTAGTGAGAGACGCCCTGGTGACCCATCGAATTGTACCACACACAGCTGTTCACAGAGGCACTGGGTGAACGGAGACCCCGCTGTTGTCCGTGACGACTGTCAGGGTAGACAGCTGAATACTGACAAAGGTTACCTCTGATTAGCAGGATTTGGAAAGGGTTTTGTTTTTCTTCAGTTTTCTCTGTTTTCTACAACGAGCCTCTATTCTTTCTTTATCTGAAAAAGAACCAAAAGTCACTTATAAAATGAAAAAAAACACTTGTCATGCTAAATATTTAATTACAATGCAATATTCAAAAGAGAAAATGGACTCATTCATTGTTGAGGCTAGTCGGTTTTTAAAAAACCTATACAGTGCATAAAAGTAGGTTGAAAACAGGCTGGGTGTGGTGGCTCACAGCTGTAATCCCAGCACTTTGGGAGGTCGAGGCGGGCAGATCACTTGAGTTCAGGAGTTCAAGACCAACCTGGTCAACACGGCGAAACCCCGTCTCTCCTACAAATACAAAAAATTGGCCGGACGTGGTGGCTCACACTTGTAAACCCAGCTAATCAGGAGGCTGAGGCCCAAGAATCCCTTTAACTTGGGAGGTGGAGGTTGCGGTGAGCCAAGATGGTGCCATTGCACTCCAGCCTGGGTGACAGAGTGTCAAAAAAAAAAAAAGGTAGGTTGAAAACAGAAATGCCAAAATATCAGAGGGGTGACCGCAGGCGGGGACCTCAGGTGATTTTGATGCTCTGTATCTTTCTGTATGTTTTCCAAACTTGCAAGAATATGGAAAATGTTCTTTAGAAGCAAAGCAGAGAGGATGGATTCTTCCAGGGCCAGGAGGCCAGTGAAGCCTCCCGGATCAGGCAGCATTGGAGCTGGGAGTTGGGAATCTGTGACCACAGCCTGCAAACCACCGAGGGCCCTAGCTCCTCCTGGGGTCTCCCCCTCCCACAAAGGGAAGATAAGCACCAGTGAAGCAGGTCACAAAGCTTGCTAGAAACAGGTGGAGGCAAACGCCTTAGTGCAGGGTCCCTCAATCTTCCCTTCTCCAAGGCAGCCATGTGTGAATAGTCACCGGAAAGGACCCCCTTCCAGCATATTGCCGATGGCACCCTGGAAGTGACTCTTGCCCGTCCAGGGCCCAGCTTTGGATGTGGGGGGCACCCCCACTGCCCTGGGCCCCTAGGCTCTGTGAGCCCTGAGCCTAATGCCCAGCACAGTGCCTGCCCCAGGGACCAGTGTGATGGCAGGGGGTAACTGTGTGTTGTCTCCCGCAGCCTCACCGCCATGGACAGCACACCCCTCATCTGTGACTATGGCTCTGGCTTCAGCAAGGTGGGATTCGCAGGAATGGAAAGCCCAGTGGGCGTGTTCCCCACTGTCCTCGGGAAACTTTGGCACGATGTGAGTGAAGGTGGGGTGTCTTCCCTGCGGGGTGCTGCTCACCCAGAAGCAGCCGCTGGCCCCGTGCACCCCATCCCCTCTCCCAAAGGGCAGCCCAGGCAATCCCCTGAGCAAGGCGTTGTGGGTGCGAATGTGCCTCTGTGAATCCAACTCAGAAGCGCCGGGCTTTGTGCCATTCAGATGGCCGGGCCACCTAGAGTCTCTGCCTCAGCCAGTCTGGGGCGGGAGATGGGATGGGCAAGGCCTTGGCCCCTCACCACTCCTGGTGCGCTGCCTGCTCTGAGAACCGCAGGCTTAGGGGGAGCAGCAGCGGTGTGTAAATCAGTACAGTGGACGCGTTGTGAAAATTCAGTCTCACTGCCCGTCTCCTGTCTCTGGTTCTTCCCACTTGCAGAGTGGTGTGGACGCCGAGAAGGAGCAATTGCCTTTAGGATAAATGGGAGTCCATTAGGGCTGAGCTGCAAAGGACGCTCAGCCTCCGTGACAGGAAGGTGGTAGCAGGACGGGTGGGGACGGGGGCACAGGCTCTCCAGGAGGCTCATCTCTGACTTCCAGCAAGTGGACCCCACGTTGCCAGACCTTCCTGTGTTTCGAGGGAATTTAGAAAGGCAGCTGTTTTTAGTGCGGTAACGTGTACACGACGTAAGGCTGTGTTAAGTGCATCAAGAACATTCACCGCCGTCTGTCTCCAGAACATTCTCATCCTATCCTCCCAAACTGAGGCTCTGGCCCCATCAAAAACCAGCTGCCCATCCCCGCCCCCCCCACCCCCAGGGAAAACTCAGTTGCGTCCTAATTGAAACTGGGTGAGTGGGCCTGAGCCTGGCCGCATGCCAGGTAGGGACAGACATGCCCCTTCTCCCTGAAAAGGAGCCGCCCACTCAGAGAGGTGATTTCTTGAATCCACGCGGTAGCAGAGTGGTGGGGACGACACCCTGCAGTGCGTTCCCAGCCCGTGCTCTGGATCACCGAGCTCATCCTTGGGAAGTTCCGGTTGTCCGTGGCAGGGAGCGGCGAGGTGACGTAGAAGATCTCAGATGTCGCAGGACCTCATGGCGATCACTCCTGGGCTTTGCAGCTCTTGGAGCAACCTTTGTTTGTAATTATCCGGGATACACTGGCTCCCACACCTGTGACAGAGGAGAAACTCCTGTCTCCCTCTCTGTTGGAAATATATGCTCAGTGCCACAAAGAAAAATCAGCACTGAGACAACGGATCTTTCAGCAACGCAATTTTCACTTCCTGGACTGCAGGAAGGGCACCCTCACTAGCCACTGTGCCACGAGAGTACAAAGAACAAAGGGAAACACACACATTTATCCCTCACACATTTGGGGTCGTCCTTAATGCCGTGTCTGATCTCCGTTGGCTGGAGCCAGACCTCACAATTTAAACTAAACCCCGACTGGCTGATAATTTAAAATTTTTCTAAACAGGTGAAAGCAGTGGAGAGCTGGGACATCCCTGTGAGCACCTCCAGCAGATATTTTGGTGAAAGTACAAGGACGTAGAATGTATTGTGTGCCTGTAAGCATGGCGTGTCTAACAGCTACATAGGGTAGGGCTTCACAAAGTTATTAGTACACTTATTCTTTTTTTTTTTTTTGAGACAGAGTTTCGCTCTTGTTACCCAGGCTGGAGTGCAATGGCACGATCTCAGCTCACCGCAACCTCTGCCTCCTGGGTTCAAGCAATTCTCCTGCTTCAGCCTCCCGAGTAGCTGGGACTACAGGCGTGCGCCACCATGCCCAGCTAATTTTTGTATTTTTAGTAGAGATGGGGTTTCACCATGTTGACCAGGCTGGTCTCGAACTCCTGACCTCAGGTGATCCACCTGCCTCGACCTTCCAAAGTGCTGGGATTATAGGCATGAGCCACCGCGCCCAGCCCACACTTTTTCTTTAACAAGAAAGGAAACTTTAAAAAGGAATTTTTCTACTTCCCACACTCTGTAAGAGGATAAAACCCACATAGATTTTGGGAGTCAGTGGATTTCCTCCTCACTGGCCAAGTGTCTCGGATCATAGCAGGGATGGCCCAGGCAAACTGCATGTGCCTGCGCCTGAGCTAGCCAGCCAGTTTGCTGCTTGGGGACTGTGGAGCTCAGTGGTTAGGAGCTAGGGCTGCAGGGTCAGGGAGACTGAGGCGCCAATCTCAGCCGTGTCCTCAGCACATGCATGACTCCCAGCGAGGGTGCTGCTGTGGCCGAGGCATCTCTTTTGCATAATGCAATTATCCAAAGTATGTATCTCATAGATTCGGCCTGAAGGTTGAATGCGATGAGTGAATGCATGTTTGGCACAGTTTCTGGCCCACAGGGAGTGATTAGCAATGATCATGATGACAGTGATGAGGACAATGAGAAGTGTATTAGCGTATTAGCTTAGAACAACAGAAACGTGGCTGGGCACAATGGCTCACGCCCGCAATCCCACCACTTTGGGAGGCGAGACGGGTGGATCACCTGAGGTCAGGAGTTGGACCAGCCTGGCCAACATGGCAAAACCCCCCTCTCTACTAAAAATACAAAATTTAGCCGGGCATGGTGGCAGGCACCTGTAATTCCAGCTACTCTGGAGGCTGAGGCAGGAGATTTGCTTGAACCTGGGAGGCGGAGGTTGCAGTGAGCTGAGATCGATCTTGCCACTCCAGCCTGGCGACAGAGCGAGACTCCGTCTCAAACAAACGAACGAACAAACAGAGATGTACTTCCTTGTAGTTCTGCAGACCTGGAGTCTGAAAACAAAGTGTCAGGAGGGCTGGCTTCTTCCCAAGGCTCTAGCGGGGAGTCTTTCCTTCCTCTTCCAGCTCCCGGGGGCTCCAAGTTTCCCTTGGCTCCCTCTGCCTTCACATGGCCTCCTTCTCTTTTCCCTTTTCTGTCTCAGATCTCCTCCCGCCTCTCTCCTATAAGGGCCCTTGTCATTGGATTTGGGGCCCATCCAGGTAATCCAAGGTGGTTCTCATCTTGAGATTGCATAGACACTTTATCCAGATAAAGTCACCTGAGAATCCAGGGGGACATAATTATTGGGGGTTGGGCATCGTTCAAGCCACCACAGTTACAATGTGGAATTTCATCTCAGCTCTCAGCCCCTCCTCTAGGGAAGGGGCCTTATTCTTGGAGTATGAACTGACTTAGGGGGGGTGGGCCAGGGAGCATCTGCTGAGAGCGAGGCTCTCCCCTCCGAATCCGCCGCAGCCAGGCTGGAGGCACTGCTCCTGTCCCCCATCACCCCCAGATGGGACTGTCTTGGTTGCAGGGAAACAAGCTCAGGGTCTCACTGATTCTACGTCACGGCGAGTTGTATAATGATTCATTGTATGTTGCAGTGGAATAAGGGCAGAAATAAAGCACACAATCAGTGTACTGCGCCCGAGTCATCCTGACACCATCCCCTGCTCTCTCTGGTCAGTGCAGAAATTGTCTTCCACAAAACTGGTCCCCGGTGCCAAAAAGGTTGGGAACCGCTCCCCTACCCCCCCATCCCGATCCAGGGCTTAAACCTGGCAGCCAAGATGGCAGTGAGACCCCTCGTAGGAGGACTTGGGAGAACGGAGAGTCAGGATGAAGGCCTTGCCCAGAGTCACTGTGTCCCTTCCAAACAGAGCAGCTGCTCTGACCCAAAGACCTCCGGACAAAGGGACATCAGGCCCAGCACTGTCCATCTTTTTATCTGAAACAGTTACTCTGAACCAGGAAAAATCAGAAAAACATTGTTCCTTCTGCACACTGGTGACCTTGCCCCTCCCCTGCTGCCCACACACTGCACTTCGATGTGGGTGGCTGAGAAACGTTGGAGAAGGTGGCAGCAGTGACGATACCTCCTATCATGATGTCAGCATATGAAACGCATTCGACTTGATCCTCCAGCAGCGCCTCGGGGAGGTGCGAGGAAGAGAGGTCCCGGTTCCCATTGGACTGAGAAGAGGAGGGAGCCTCAGAGAAGGCACACGACTTTCCCAAGGTCTCACAGCTGGTGATTCTCATCCCAAGTCCAAATGTCTTCTGCTGGAGACAAACTCCTGAGATAAAAGAGCTCTGTGCAGGTGAGCTGTGGCAGCCTGGAGAGCAGCCTCACCCTGAAATCACTGCTCCACTGCATCTCTCCACCACCACACTCTTGCACCTGGCATCATGGCGCCACGGAGCCACTGCACCAGAGCATTATTGCTCTGCTGTGTGCATCATTGCACTGTGGCCATGACACCGTTGCAACATGGCACCATGACACCATCACAACATGGCACGGCAACGTCACTACAGCACGGCACCATGATGTCATTGCAGCGTGGCACCATGCCGTCATCACAACATGGCATCATGATGTCGTTGCAGTGTGGCACCATGACACACAACATGGCACTGCGACATCATCACAACATGGCACGGTGACATCACCACAGCACAGCACCATGATGTCATCACAACATGGCACCATGACATCACTGCAGCATGGCACCATGGCATCATTGCAGCGTGGCACCAGGACGTCACTGCAGCATGGCACCATGGCATCATTGCAGCGTGGCACCATGATATCACCACAACATGGTATTATGACATCACTGCGGCATGGCACCATTGGACTAAGACCATCCTTCCTACCTGCTGCTGCCAGCCAACAACTGAGGATGGCAGTGACACCAAGGCAAGCCAAGCCCATTTCCGGGAAACCCAGCACTCCTCTGATGAATGAGCCTGGCTCAAGAACTCTCCAACAGCCTTGCAAAGCTTTCCCTTAGATGGCATGGTGGCTCAGTCACCCACCTGATCTGCTTCCCTGTTTCCTGCACCCAGGCTCAGACTGGGACAATAGCCCGTGTCTCTCCCATCTTCGTCCTGCTGTCTCCCCACCGCCCCTCACGTGCGCGCATTCCCTGGTCACATCCTTGCGCCTTTCCTTCCATCCCGGTGTCTGTGTCTCAGTGGACCCAGATTAACACATGGGCCAACAAGTAAAATCACCTCTGAGTGACGAAATGGATAGTTTAATGCGCCATGAAAGTAGCCAGCTTTATCTTCCTAAAAAAAGAACCAAAGTTGAATCACATCACAGACCCTTTCCCGGTCAACCTTCCTAAGCAAACGTGGCGGCAGTCACCATCTCTCCCGCCATGACGTCAGCTTATGAAATGCATTCCTGCTGGAGGGCATAATTGACTTAACCCTCCAGCAGCACCATGGCATTCCTGGTGCATCTCCCACACCCCTCCATCCTCAGCAGCCTGTCTCCCCAGTTTCCTTGTCTACGAACTGGACAAGACAAATGTCCTAGGAACGACTCCTCGGGAGCACTCTTACCTTGCAGGTAATTTGCTAAAACCTCTTAGCAGCCATTTCTGAAATAGCTCACAGGGCTCGGGGGTGGTCGTGGATGCCGGTGCTGTGACTTGGAGTCTCCCACGAAGGCCACTGTGGCCTCCCAGCCACTGCTCACTGGGTCCCCACAAAAGAAAGCCAACTGCAGGGGAGTCCTACCCCGCCACCCCTAGAAGCTGATTTGTCCTGGCCTATGTCTTTCAGAACGTGTTGGTGGGGACAGAAGAGAAAGACTGGTTCATCGGAGAGGAGGTTCAGAAAAACCGAGGGAAACTCAACCTGCAGTATCCCATTTCTCGGGCAACAATTACCAACTTGGACAACATGGAGCAGGTGTGTCCAGCTTCTGCCAGGCGGGGCCTATTCACAGGCCTCCCTAGCCACGTCCAGCTGTGAGACAGGTGCAGCTGTTCCTCATACAGACCCTGTTGTGAGGGTTGAGGGGGATGATGGATAAAAGTCCTCAGTCCCGGCCGGGCGCGGTGGCTCCTGCCTGTAATCCCAGCAATGGGAGGCTGAGGTGGTTGGACCGCTTGAGTGCGGGAGTTTGAGTCCAACCTGGGAAACACAGTGAGAACCCGTGTGTACAAAAAATTAAAAAATAAGCTGGCTGTGGTGGTGTGGGAGGCTGAGGTGGGAGGATCGCTTGAGCCTGCAAGGTTGAGGCTGCAGAGAGCTGTGACTGTGCCTCTGAGGTCCAGCCTGGTCAACAGAAGGGGACTGTGTCTCAAAGCGGAGACACACGAAAGGCAAAAAAGGCTTCAGTCCCGAACAGTAAGAAACTGTAAGTTATGGTGAACGTGTAGCTCTCTCGTCAAGTCACTGAGGTTCTGGCCAGGACGTCCATGTGCATCTGAACAGGGCGGGCACGGCCTTAGAGGATGTACCTGTTAGTTACTGTGGTCCTGTCCAGCCGCACACAAGGCGGCTTCGATAGCAGGAATTCTTCGCCTCACCATCCTGGAGGCTGGAAGTCCAGCGTTAATTCGTGGGTGGAGCTGGCTCCTTGCAGGGCCGTGTGGGAGCCCGTGTCCCGGCCTCTGCCCTGATGGCTGTCAGGCTTTGGTGCTCCTTGGCTCACAGATGTGTCACCCCGATGTCTGCCTTCAGGTTCACGTGGCATTCTCTGTGTCTGTGTCCACATTTCCCCCTTCCTATTGGACTGGGCACCAGCTGACTCCACTAGGAGCTCTCTCAACTGACAGCATCTGCAACCACCCTGTTTCCAAAGAAGGTCCCATTCAGACGTATGGGGGCTAAGACTTCAGAACATGATTCTTGGGGCGACACAATTCAGTGCATCGCAAAGTTCTAGCGCTGCCTTCACATGTTAGCCCCAGATGCAGAGGCTCGAAATGCCTGTGGTCACCTCTGTCAGTTTTGTGGGTCAGGAATCTGGGAGTGAGTCCTTAGGCTTGACTGGGGCTGGAGGGGCCCCTCCCAGGGCGGTGCTCTCCAGTGACCGTGGGGTGCTTCCTCTGCACAGGGTCTCCTACCCCACCCAGGGCTGCCCGATGTCCTGGCAGCCTGGCAGTTGGCTTCCCCCATGGGGAACTATGGAAAAGGCCAAGGTGCAGGCCACAGTGCCACCAGGCTACCGTGGCACAGCCAGGGCAGCAGCACTGTCACTTCTGCTGCATTCTGTTGGCTACACAGCCAGTCCTGATTCCATGTGGGAAAGATCTGCATAGGGCGTGACTTCCAGGTGCTGAGGGTCATGGGCTATCTTGGCGGAGGTGGTGGGAGCACTGCTCATAAGTGTTTTCTTCTGCACAGCTGTGGCTGTGGCCGCAGTATGGCGGGGAATGCAGAAACACAGGCCTTGTAGACAGGGCTTGTAGACAGGGCTTGTAGACAGGGCTTGTAGACAGGGCTTCAGCTGTGGGCCCCAGCGGCCCCCGCCCTCTGCTGCCTTGTGGGGGGCTCACCTGCTTGAGGGAGCGCAAGGCACTGGCTCCTGGCTTCACCATCTTCCCTGAATGCCCACATAAGGCAGTGATCCTCCTGCGTCCCACCTTCCACTTCCTCCCTCTCATCACCCTGCCCCATCTCCAGGAGTCTCTTCCAAGTCTGGCTGTGTCCCTTCTCTGCCCCAGGCTGGTCGTCCACGGATGGGTCACGCCTGCAGCTGACGCCTGGCTCTTGCCTTCTCACGGGGGTTGTGGCCTCATGCTTCCGGGTCCCGTGCCTGCCTGCAAGAGGCCGCCCCTCCACACTGCCCTCCCCCAGGGGCATGTCCCCCCACAGGGACAGGCAGCAGACTCACACCTGATAACCAAGCATGGCGTCCTAAGCCCCTACTGCACTGGGTGTGAGGGGCTGAACGGGGTCCCCCAACATTCACATGTGAACCTGAGCCTCAGCGCCTCAGGGTGTGACTGTGCTTGGAGACAGCACCTTTAAAAGGCAAGTAGGTTAAGAAGAGATCGTTAGGGTGGCCCCTCGACCACTGTGACTGGGGCCTTATCGGAAGAGAAGACTAGACACAGACACACAGAGGGGGACGCTGTGAGGATGCCAGGGGGACCCTGCCTGCAAGCTGAGGAGCCTCGGGGGGAACCGGCCCTGTGGCGCCTCATCTGGGGCTCCAGCCTCCAGAGTGTGACTCGATGAGTGTCTGTGGGGCTTTGCGATGGCAGCTGCGGGACGAGAATGGGCCAGGCTCCTCTACATTTCCCATTTTAAAGATGAGAAATGAGGTTCATCGAGTCAGGTCGCTGATCCAGGGCCCGCCTGGTGTGAGGTAGAGCTTCCGGTCACGCTGAGCTGACACCTACGTTCTCTCCCGGTGTGGCACCCACCCACCAGAGTCCCAGTCTGTGTCAGTCCCAGGACCCTGGAGGTCCTGATGGTGGCACCTGTGCCCATCAGACCACAGGATGCTCCAGACAAGCCCCGGGCCTCACTGGTCTCAGCCCCCTTCCTAGCCCCAGGCCTGGTGACAGAGCAGAGGTTCTGTGTCTTGCTGAAGCCACGCTGTCTCCCTGCTGCTCCCTCAGGTCGGGATGACCTCGCTGTGACTCAGCTGTCCCACGTGCTATTTAAAACACTGCTTTGATGGCCAGGCATGGTGGCTCACACCTGTAATCCCAGCATTTTGTGAGGCCGTGGTGGGTGGATCACCTGAGGTCAGGAGTTCAAGACCAGTCTGGCCAACATGGTGAGACCCTGTCTCTACTAAAAATTTAAAAATGAGCTGGGCATGGTGGCAAGTGCCTGTAATCTCAGGTATTGAAGACGCTGAGGCGGGAGAATGGCTTGAACCCGGAGGCGGAGGTTGCACTGAGCCGAGATCGCGCCACTGCCCTCCAGCCTCGGTGACAGAGTGAGACTCCATCTCAGAAAAATAAAAGTAATGAAAACAAAACACTGCTTTGTCAAACAAATAGCATAAAACACAACAATGAAATAAAATAACATAAAATAACCAAACCTGAAGCCCTGCCTGGCCTTGCAGCCACACCCTGCCCTGTCTGCAAAATGAGCCCGGTGTGGTGGCGCGCACCTGTAGTCCCAGCTACTCGGGAGACTGAGGCAGGAGAATCGCTTGAACCCGGGAGACGGTGGTTGCAGTGAGCCGAGATCGCGCCACTGCACTCCAGCCTTGTGACAGAGCAAGACTCCATCTCAAAAAAAAAAATTGCTGGACTCGGGGCTGCAAGGCCAGAGTTGGGTGGTGAGGGGGCTGCAGGGCTGGGGTGGGGGTGGGGGTGGGGAGGGGGCTGCGGGGCCGGATTTGGGGTGGGGAGGGGGCTGCGGGGCCGGGGTGGGGGTGGGGAGGGGGCTGCAGGGCCGGGTTGGGGGTGGGGAGGGGGCTGCGGGGCCTGGGTGGGGGTGGGGGTGGGGAGGGGGTGGGGAGGGGGTTGCAGGGCCACCTGTGGCCACCATGCTCCCATGGCATCACTGAGGAAGCCTGGCCTCGGCCCCGGAAGCCGCTGACTCTGCACCCCCTCTCCTCCCAGATCTGGCATCACTCCTTCTACCAGGTGCTCCGCATCGCCCCGGAGCAGCACCCCATGTTGTTGACGGAGCCGCCTTTGACCCCAGCACCCAGCAAAGAGAAAGTCACACAGGTACCGGGGGCTTCAGGGGGTCAGTGTCTGAGTACACAGGTACCAGGGGCTGGTGAGGGCCTCAGGGGGTCAGTGTCTGAGTACACAGGTACCAGGGGCTGGTGAGGGCCTCAGGGGGTCAGTGTCTGAGTACACAGGTACCAGGGGCTGGTGAGGGCCTCAGGGGGTCAGTGTCTGAGTACACAGGTACCAGGGGCTGGTGAGGGCCTCAGGGGGTCAGTGTCTGAGTACACAGGTACCAGGGGCTGGTGAGGGCCTCAGGGGGTCAGTGTCTGAGTACACAGGTACCAGGGGCTGGTGAGGGCCTCAGGAGGTCAGTGTCTGAGTACACAGGTACCAGGGGCTGGTGAGGGCCTCAGGGGGTCAGTGTCTGAGTACACAGGTACCAGGGGCTGGTGAGGGCCTCAGGGGGTCAGTGTCTGAGTACACAGGTACCAGGGGCTGGTGAGGGCCTCAGGAGGTCAGTGTCTGAGTACACAGGTACCAGGGGCTGGTGAGGGCCTCAGGGGGTCAGTGTCTGAGTACACAGGTACCAGGGGCTGGTGAGGGCCTCAGGGGGTCAGTGTCTGAGTACACAGGTACCAGGGGCTGGTGAGGGCCTCAGGGGGTCAGTGTCTGAGTACACAGGTACCAGGGGCTGGTGAGGGCCTCAGGGGGTCAGTGTCTGAGTACACAGGTACCAGGGGCTGGTGAGGGCCTCAGGGGGTCAGTGTCTGGTCTCCCCTGAACAGGCAGCAACCTCGGCCTCACCTGCTTCTTGCTTGGCCAGATGAGGACGCTGGGCAGGGGATGCCCCTTGACACACCAAGCATGCTGGCCTCTGCTGGGTGCTGGCCAGGGCCCTGGCACTGCATACATATGACTTCATGCAGGCCTTCCAACCAGCCATGGGGCAGTCGGCCGTCCTCCTCTTTGTACATATGAACGGGCTGCAGCAGCAGGGAGCTGAAGCGGTTCGGCTAAGGTCACGCGGAGTGTCGCTGGCAGCTCGCCTGGACCTGGGTGGCCTCCCCTGCAACTCCATCACAGCCACGATTCAGTCGTCCTACAGACAGGCCTGACTCCAGCCTCCAGTTTTGGTTTAAAAGCTCCTGGGTCTCTTCTCTGAGCCTCCTCTGGCACCTGCCCACCAGGCAGGAGGCGCTGCTGTGTGCTGACAGGGTGGTCCTGATGGGACTGATGGTGGAGCCTGGCAGGGGCCGGTGCTGGAGGAGAAAGGAAGCTGTGGCGCTCTCCTTAAGGCTGGGGCCAGGGCGCGGTGGCTCACGCCTGCAATCCCAGCACTGTGGGAGGCCAAGGCAGGGGGATCACGAGGTCAGGAGATCGAGACCATCCTGGCCAACATAGCGAAACCCCATCTCTACTAAAAATACAAAAATGAGCTGGGCACGGGTGCCGTGTGGCTGTGATTCTGGCTACTTGGGAGGCTGAGGCAGAATTGCTTGAATCTGGGAGACAGAGGTTGCAGTGAGCCAGGATCACGCCATGGCACTCCAGCAAAAACGGCTGGGGTGGGGGGCTGCGGGGCCGCGGCTGGCCACCATTCTCCCGTCACTTCATTGGCTGCTCCTAATGAGGACATCGGTGCGCTCATTAAGCCCGTGGTGCTGTTCTACCACCTGGCCCAGAGTCCCCGAAGCCCAGCGGTGTCTCCCGCAGTGAGCGGTGACCCACAGGCAGGCCCAGGGCTCTGGACGCAACCTGCTCACTGCAGAGGCTCACGTGGCAGCCCAGGAACCACAGCTCCATCTGGCACGGGCAGGTATGAGCTGCCGCCTCGTTTCAGACAAAACCCTGAGCGGACCCTCAAGTCCTCCTCAGCCTGTGGACAGGTGGATCACAAGAGGGGGCCACCGCTGGGCTGCTGGGACAGGGTGCAGCAGGCTCCCACTTTGAGACAGTCGAGTGCCCGTAAGGCTGTGGGGAGCCGGAGAAGGAGTGTGGGACATCGCACTCCCCTGGGGCCAGCTGGTGCGGCAGAATTCTCCGGAGACGCAGAACAGTGGGGTGAGCGTGGACACCAGGAGAGGGTCAGGATGAGGGGCCAGCTCACACAATGACAGAGGCTGTGAGTCCCAGTGTTCTTCAGCGTGTGACTGTGGGGTGTCTCTAAGTGAGACCAACACGTGGATCAGGGGCTGCGTAAGGCAGACGACCCTCCCTGGTGTGGGCGGGCCTCACCCAATCAGTCAAAGACCTGATGAGCACAAAAGGACGGAGTAAGAGGAACCCCCCTCACCCCAGACGGGCTCTACCGTCAGGAAGCTGGAGGCCCAGGAGGGCCCGTGCTGTGGTTCCAGTCCAGAGGCTGGCGGGCTCCAGACCCACAAAGAGCCAACCTTCACTCAGAGTGTGAAGGCAGGAAAAGGCTGACGTCAGGGTGCAGGCAGTCGGGCCGGAGGGGCTGCCTCCTACTCTGTCCTATTGTTCTCAGCTGGTCTTCAACTGATTGGGTGAGGCCTGCCCACACCAGGGAGGGTCATCTGCTTTATGCAGCCCCGATCTACGTGTTGGTCTCACTCAGAGACACCCCACAGTCACAAATGGAGAACACTTGACCAACCCCCAGACTCCCGGCGGCCAGTTGGGTTGGCCTGTGGGGTGAGCCAGGGCTCCAGCTGTGGGGTTGGCATCCAGCCTTCCTCGGCGGCCTCCCACCGCTGGGGGCACTGCCTGCCTTTCTGCCCTGATCCTCTCCAAATTCACCCTCTAATTATATCAGAGACCCAGCAGAAAACCAAAGGAACACTCCCGTGGGGCATGTTTGGTGAGAGTTTAATAGGGATTATACACAAAGGTGAGCATGAGTTTTAGAAAAAAGTCCCACGAGAGGGTGCAGTATCTGGGTGTATCCGGGGTAGCTGCTCTCACCCTTAAACCTGAAAGAGCAGTGGATGGTTACCAGTTCCCAGGGAGGGCTGCCACTCAGGTGCTGTGGCCTTCAGAAGAGGGAGCCTGCAGGGAGGGAGCCGGGACATCAGCGAGCCCTGCCCCTCCCCTGCCCTCATCTTCTGGAGCCCTAAAGAAGAGCCCAGGGCAGACGTCACGAGGAAGGAGGGAGCTTCTGCAGGGCACAGGCAACCAGCAGCCCACCAGCATGGGGCTTGGCCTCACTGTGACCAAAGGGATGTTTCTGCATCTGTGGGCACTGCTTGGTCTCCATCCTGCACCCAGCCCCAGCAGGCCTCCCCTCCCTGCCAAAGTCCCTCTGTCCAGCTTGCAACCTCCAGGGCTCCTCTGGGGGCTGGGATGAGCTGGGAGAAGTCTCTATGGTAACAGGATGTGGAGGCAGCATGGTCCAGAGAAGAAGCCGACACTGGGGCAGCCCGGCATACAGGGAAGGGCCTGGCCTGGCATCAGGACCCCTGGGTTCTAGCCCCGGCTCTTCCAGCACGTGTGACCTTGGGAGAATACTGCTTCTCTCTGTGCCTCAGTTTCCTCAGCAGAGGGATAATAGTGGTCCCTCCCTGGGGACGGTGCTGAGGACATGAGTTAATACCCATAAAGCCCATGGCACAGTGCTTAGTGTCTCCTGAGCATTCCACAAATGCTGTCACTTCCTGTTCTCAGGCCTCAGTTTTCTCATCTGTAAAATAGGAATTGGGGCTGGGCGCGGTGGCTCAGTCCTGTAATCCTAGCACTTTGGGAGGCCAAAGCAAGCAGATCACGAGGTCAGGAGTTCGAGACGAGCCTGGCCAGTATGGTGAAACCCCGTCTTTACTAAAAATGCAAACGTTAGTCAGGTGGGATGACATGCACCTATAATCCCAGCTTCTTGGGAGGCTGAGGCAGAAGAATCTCTTGAACCCGGCAGGCAGAGGTTGCAGTGAGCCAAGATCGCCCCACTGCACTCCAGACTGGGTAACACAGCAAGACTCCATCTCAAAAAAAAAAAAAAAAAAAAAGAGAATCTGGCTACAGGGAAGGCCTGTAGCCTGAAGACCGTGCGAGCTCTGTAAACTACTGGCCCCCTAGCAGGCCAGTGGAAGCCGAAGCTGGCTTTTGTTTTTGTGGGTTTCTTTTTGTTGGGGAGGGGGGTTAGTCCTCTATACCATCACAAAAGCTGCCCTCCCGCCTCAGGATCACGCTTTACCCCTCCACCAAGAGTGGCCCAGACTCAGAGATGCCTCCAGCCGCAGGCAGCCAGCCACCTCTCTGCCCTGTGCCATGTATGTGCTTCTGGTACCAGGCTGCACATATCACACTGCACCTGTGTCCACCCACCTGCCCTTGGACGTCCACGTGGCGTCCAGCAGGGGGGCTCTTGCAAGTAATGGTGCTGTGAGCACGCGTGAACTAGTCCTCCTACGGGCTTGTGTTTTCATTTCTGCTGGGCAAATGCCCCAGCCCACCCAGAACACCGCCCTGTATTTAGCTAATACAGTCAGTAACACATTTTCTGAGTCACGTGGTCGGCAGTGCAGCCGAACCACGTGTAATGTCATTTTTAAAAACATGCCGTCTTGGCCCACTCTTCAGGCCCTGGCTAGGAATCAGTCTGATCCTTTTCCTGACTGCTGGTTAAGTCCACGCCCCAGCGCTTCACACCCTGGGTCCACCGCGCACCTGTCCAGGTACCAGACATCAGTGGACAGCACCAATGCCCAGGAACCCATCTGCATGGAGTCCGCCATCAAATCCAAGTCTCCCCACAGTCCTGAGAGGTGGCTGGGACGGGTGTGAGCCCATTTTAAAGACTGGGAAACTGAGAGTGTCCCAGAGCTCATGGGGCAAAGCTGCGATAAGGAGGAGTGTGTTTCTGTGCCCACGGTCTGGGTCTCTCTTGGGTGGCATGGAGAACCAAGTGCCTCTGGTAGGTGGGACTCAGGTAGCCTGGGTCGTTTAGGAGAGGCTCACCTCCTCCTAGTCTGCAGGCCTGGCTGCCAGAGGTGGCTGATGTTTCTTCCTAGGTGCTGTTTGAGACTTTCAACATACCCGCCCTGTATTTAGCTAACCAAGGAGTCCTTTCTCTATACGCCTCTGGCCAGACCTCTGGTGAGTGGCCCTGTGGGAGCCCCACACCCTCCCCGTCCCTCCAGCTCAGACGCTCACCCCTGTGCACACTGCAGGCCTGACCAGGAATGAAAGACAAACACCCACACTGCTCACACCCTCCGGCCCCTTTCTTTGCTCCCAGATTTTAACAACTTGCTCACTTTTTTTCTTAATAGCATTCTCGAGGTGCAATTGATAGGAATCAACTGCATGTGTTTAAAGGGGTGCAATTTGCTAAGTTTTGACACATGGGTCCGCTCTTGAAGCCTTCACAACCAAGATAATGAATGTATCTGTCACCCCGATCATCTCCTGACACGGGACACTCTGCCCCTCCGGTCTGTCTCCAGACAGACACCGGCTGCCTGGAGTGTACATTTTCTAGAATTTTGTATGAATGGAGCCGGGAAGTCCGCACTCTTTTTTGGGTTTCTTTATCTTCACGCGGCGTGATTAGCTGAAGATTTATCCTGCGTGTGGATTGAGAATTAATGTCTTCTCAATTCTGGGTAGTAGCCCAGCACATGAATAAATCGTACTTTATCCACTTGTGAATGGATATTTGAGTTGTAAATAAAGCTGCTATAGACACATTTGTGTACAGTGTAAGTACTGCACAAGTCGTATTTGTTAATTAAAAAAATAAAAGGAAAAAAACTGCTATTATTTTTCCCCTCTTTTACCTTTTGAAGCACTACTGTGAAACCCACACGGGTGGTTTCCTAAGAAAACTTGCGAGCTGCCGTCCAAAACAGCCAGCCCTCTTGTTCATCCTAGTGTACTCCCCTTCGGGGGAAAAAAGCTCACTCGTGAGAATCTTTGACTTCCCATCCATTAGTTCCCCTCTGCCTTCTCCCCCTGCAGATACAACAATTGTAAGGCATGTCACTGGCCCTGCATTATGATGCCAGCATGCTCTCTTGTCTAGGCATGACCATTGAATCTGGAGAAGGGATGACATACTTCGTACCCATCACTGACGGCTGTCCTTTGCATCAGTCAACCTTCCAGATGGACATAGCGGGCCAGGACCTAACCACGTACCTCCTGAAACTGTTGAAAGACAATGGGCAATTATTGGTGAGCACAGGTAAGACACTGCTGTTCTTGACTGAGTAAACTAGTCTCTGGGGTGCAATAGACTTCTTCCCTTGCTCAACCTACAACCTCAGTGTGTAAAGCTAAGAGTACTTGACCATCATTCAGGTTCTAAAAATAACCTTATCTATGTTTAGGGAATTTAGTCAAGTGGTGATGATGACAAGGGCCATGATGATAGTGATGGTGATGATGGTGATGCTGATGATGGTGATGGTCATATGGTAATTGATGGTGGTGATAGTGGGGATGCTAATGATGGTGATGGTGATGGTCATATGGTGATTGATGGTGATGATGAAGATGATGGTGATGGTGGTGATGGTGATGATGATGGTGATGATGGTGATGATTATGGTCATGGTGATGATTATGGTAATGTGATGATGAGTGATGATGGTGATGGTGATGATAGTAATGATGATGGTAGTGATGGTGATGGTGACAATGATGGTGATGGTGATGGTGGTGATGGTGATGATGGTGATGGTGACAATGGTGATGATGGTAATTGATGGTGATGGTGATGTGGGTGATGATGGTGATGGTGACAATGATGATGGTGATAGTAATGGTGACAATAATTGTGATGATGGTGATGATGGTAGTGATGGTGATGGTGACAATGATGGTAATGGTGATAATGGTGATGATGGTGATGGTGATGGTGATGATGGTGATGTGGGTGATGATGGTGATGGTGACAATGATGATGATGGTGATAGTAATGGTGACAATAATTGTGATAATGGTGATGGTGATGATGGTGGTGATGGTGACAATGATGGTGATGGTGACAATGATGGTGATGGTGGTCATGATGGTGATGATGGTGATGATGGTGTTGGTGATGATGATGGTGGTGATGATAGTGATGGTGATGATGGTGATGTGGGTGACGATGACAGTGATAGTAATGGTAACAATAATTGTGATGATGGTGATGATGGTAGTGATGGTGATGGTGACAATGATGGTAATGGTGATGATGATGGTGGTGATGATGGTGATGGTGATGTGGGTGATGATGGTGATGTGACAATGATAACGATGACAGTGAGAGTAATGGTGACAATAATTGTGATAATGGTGGTGGTGATGATGGTGATGGTGACAGTGATGATGATGATGGTGATAGTAATGGTGACAATAATTGTGATGATGGTGATGTGGGTGATGATGGTGATGGTGATGTGGGTGACGATGACAGTGATATAGTAATGGTAACAATAATTGTGATGATGGTGACGGTGATGTCATATGGTGATTGATGCTGATGACAGTGGTGGTAATGATGGTGATGATGATGGTCATATGGTGATTGATGCTGATGACAGTGGTTATGATGATGATGATGGTGGTGGTGGTAACGATGGTGATGGTGATGGTCATATGGTGATTGACGCTGATGACAGTGGTGATGATGATGATGATGGTGGTGGTGGTAATGATAGTGATGGTGATGGTCATATGGTGATTGATGCTGATGACAGTGGTGATGATGATGATGGTGGTGGTGGTGGTGGTGGTAATGATGGTGATGGTGATGGTCATATGGTGATTGATGCTGATGACAGTGGTGATGATGATGATGGTGGTGGTGGTGGTGGTAATGATGGTGATGGTGATGGTCATATGGTGATTTATGCTGATGACAGTGGTGATGATGATGATGGTGGTGGTGGTGGTGGTGGTAATGATGGTGATGGTGATGGTCATATGGTGATTGATGCTGATGACAGTGGTGATGATGATGGTGGTGGTGGTGGTAATGATGGTGATGGTGATGGTCATATGGTGATTGATGCTGATGACAGTGGTGATGATGATGATGATGGTGGTGGTGGTAATGATGGTGATGATGATGGTCATATGGTGATTGATGCTGTTGACAGTGGTGATGATGATGATGATGGTGGTGGTGGTAACGATGGTGATGGTGATGGTCATATGGTGATTGATGCTGATGACAGTGGTGATGATGATGATGATGGTGGTGGTGGTAATGATAGTGATGGTGATGGTCATATGGTGATTGATGCTGATGACAGTGGTGATGATGATGATGGTGGTGGTGGTGGTAATGATGGTGATGGTGATGGTCATATGGTGATTGATGCTGATGACAGTGGTGATGATGATGATGATGGTGGTGGTGGTAATGATAGTGATGGTGATGGTCATATGGTGATTGATGCTGATGACAGTGGTGATGATGATGATGATGGTGGTGGTGGTAATGATGGTGATGGTGATGGTCATATGGTGATTGATGCTGATGACAGTGGTGATGATGATGATGATGGTGGTGGTGGTGGTAATGATGGTGATGGTGATGGTAGTTGTGATGACAGTTGTTATGGTGTTGAGCTAAGCTTTACAGAGAACTTATCCTGTGCAAAGCACTGGGCCAAGTAAACATTTCACATGCATTTTCTCATTGCTTCTCACTGTAACCCTATGGAAGAGAGCAATTATTTCTATTACAAAAGAAAGATGCAGCTGGGTGCAATGGGTCATGTCTATAATCCCAGCAATCTGGGAGGCCCGGGTGGGAGGACCACTTGAATCTAGAAGTTTGCAAATCAGCCTGGACAACATGGCAAGACCCAATCTCTACAAAAACATTAAAAAATTAGCAGGGTGTGGTGATGAACACCTCTAGTCCCAGCTACTTAGCAACTGAGGCAGGAGGATCACTTGAGCCTAGGAGTTCCAGGTTATAGTGAGCTATGATGGCACTACTGCACTCCAGCCTGGGTAACGGAGCAAAGCAACACCCTGTCTCAAAAAAAATAGGGAGAGGCCTAGGAAGGTTATTAGAAGATTTTCCCAACATTCCATAAATGATAAGTGGCATGGCAACTGGCATATGGACCCAAGTCTCCAGGCAAGGTGCCTGTCCCTCCCTGCACCCAGTTCCTGGACTAGATTCCCAGCCTGAATAACCTGCATGACACCCATTCCCAGTGAGTGTACAATCCTGCATCCCAGGGTCTTCCTTGCCGACCGACAGGTCCGTGTCAAAAGCGATGCAAAGCGTGGACCCCTAAAAACTAACAGCAACTAGAGGGAAAGTGAGAAGGATTGCAGGGCAACATCCTAGCATGTTATTGATGCCTCACACTTGGTGAGCTCTTGGTGAACCGTTACCTCTCATCCTTCTAACAGTCCTGCGAGTGACCATCCATCCCATTCTTGCAGATGAGGAAAGGGAAGGTTTAAGAGGATGATGAAGTTGCCTAGAGCCAGGCATTGGGTCAATGGCAGAGATGGGATTTGAACCCGGATTTTCTCACCAAAGCCCCAAGTAGATGAAGAAAGGAACAAACATGAGGACAGTGCAGCATCCCAGGAGCCAAAGAAAGAGAAGGGAGTGATTAACAGCCCCAGCTGCCGAGGGAGAGAGGTCAGGAAGGAACCTAAGAGTGTCCACAGGGACACTAGTTTTAGAACTAGGAGGACAGAATAGACCCAGGCAAGAGCACGTTAGGTGGAGCCAGTGAAGGTAGAAGGCAGACATCAGGGGGCTGAAGACCAAGTGACATTTCCAGGTGTGCGGTACAGAGTTCCCCGATCGAACTCAAAAACAGTGATAGACAAAGCGTAAAACCGTAACACGAGAAGACACAGCTGGTTTTAAAACTGGTCGTCCCAAAGGAGGAGAAGTGGAACCTTCCAGATATTTCCAGGTGGGTGCTTTGATCCACTGTGGGCAATTCTCCAGAGAAGGAGAGGGCAGTTGTGCGCAGGTGGCAGGTGAAACTCACAGCAGCTGGGGATGGGGCACCAACCGCACCACTCATAGCAGGAGATAAGAAAGTTGGCCGGGCGCCGTGGCTCACGCCTGTTATCCCAGCACTTTGGGAGGCCACGGTGGGAGAATCACGAGGTCACGAGTTTGAGATCAGCCCGGCCAACATAGTGAAAACCGTCTCTACTAAAAATACAAAAAATTAGCCGGGTGTGGTTGTGGGCACCTGTAATCCCAACTACTCAGGGGGTGAGGCAGGAGAATTGCTTGAACTCGGGAGGTGGAGGTTGCAGTGAGCCAAGATTGTGCCACTGCACTTCAGCCTGGGCGACAGAGTGAGACTCTGTATAAAAAGAGAAGAAACCAAGAAAGTCGGGTTTGCTTGTCCAGCCCTCCCCACCCTCCCCCAGACATGTACCATATACAGAAGGATCTCAACTTCTCAAACGCTGAAATTCCCTAACCCCTTTCATCTTAGTTCAAGACGTACTTATTCTACTCTTCCACAAACTCGGGCTCAACGCGCAGCACGAATGAGAGAGCCCGGGGTGTGAGATGGAAATAGAAATGGTGGCTCCAGCGGTGCAGCCTCAACCTCAGTGCAAGGTGCTTTTGTGAACTCACCGCATTTCCATTCCCTTTTCTGTTTGGCACTTTCCCTTTGTCCCACAGGGGACAGAGAGTACATCAGGGACCTGAAGGAGAAGTGCTGCTATGTGGCTTTGGACTTTGACAAGGAAAAGAGGAAAACCAGTTTGCCTCCCCGCCAGTGGAAGTATCAGCTGCCTGATGGCCAAGAGATCAGCGTTGGGCAAGAGAGTTTCCTCTGCCCCGAGGTGCTCTTCCAGACAGAACTCACAGGTGAATCCTCAGGAAGGGGACAGAAATTAGCCTGGACATGAGCAAGTGAGCACCCTGTGAGAAAGAAGGGGCCGGGCGTGGTGGCTCACACCTGTAATCCCAGCACTTTAAGAGGCTGAGGCAGGTGGATCACCTGATGTCAGGAGTTCGAGACCAGCCTGGCCAACATGGTGGAACCCTGTCTCTACTAAAAATACAAAAACTAGTTAGGCATGGTGGTGTGTGCCTGTAGTTCAGGCTACTCAGGTGGCTGAGGCAGGGAAATCACTTGACCCTGGGAGTTTTTAGAAAGGTGGAGGGAGGTGGAGGTTGCAGTGAGCCGAGATTGTGCCACTGTACTCCAGCCTGCGTGGGCAACAGAGCAAGACTCCATCCAAAAGAAGGAAGTAGGGCTGCCAGGAGGGGGGTCTTGTGTGAGTAGCAAACAGCCACACTGTTTCAAAAGTTCTTCAACCAGCTGACACCCACCAGGCACCTACGGTCTGCTTGTCGCTTCGCTGACTATTGCGTGTGTTATATCCTGAATCCGCCTCCAAATCTGCCTCTGTGAGATGATCCCATTTTACAGAGAAGGAAACTCACCAAAGAGGTCTTTGCTTTTGTAATGTATTGTTTATACTCTGCCTACTTACAAAATAATTTCAAATATAAAAATCAAGACAATTTAAGACAGACATGTAATCACCACGGATTTGGAGGGAGCCTTACACGTTCGGCTGATCTAGAGACTTTGAGTGAGCATGGAGTTGCCTACATGCTCCCGCTGGTGCATTTTTCCTGGTGGAACGGGAAAGACGTTGGAGGGTGAAATCCCTACTGATAGGGAAGATGGAATCTGCCGGGTCGACATGGAAAAGCAGGTGTTCCCCGGAGTCCGACTCTTCATTTGTTATATTCATAAGGGACAAAGGGGAATTAAAACCGGGGAAGTAACCATTTCCCCAGGGTGAGGACCCAGTGAGTACCGGGCACTTAGAATCTTCCGTAAGTTAGTTGGTTTATCTCCGTGTTCCCGTTAGACTGTGCAGGGTATGCTGCGGTCATGTGCACCACACATGTGAAGCGGAGAAGCAATGGGTTCTTTACCCACCGTAGTGCTGGAAACAGATACTCAGTGCTGCAAAGAAAAAGCACTGAGACGAAGGATCTCTCAGCAAGCAGTTTTTACTTCCTGGGCTGCAGGAAGGGTATCGTCATTAGCCACCTTGCCACGAGAGTACCATGAACAAAGGAAAACACACAGATTTATCCCTCACGCATTTGGGGTCGTCCTTACTGCTGTGTCTGATCTCCATTGGCTGGAGCCAGACCTCACAATCTAAAACCCGATTGGCTAACAACCTAAACCCTTTTTAAGCAGGTAAAGGGCATAGGCTGCGAGCTGGGGCATGCCTGTGAGCACATCCAGCACAGATACCTTGGTTAAAGTACAAGGACACAGAACATATTACGTGCCTGTGAGCATGGCGTGTCAAACAACTACATAGGATAGGGCTTCACTAAGAGTTATTAGAAAATTTGTTCATTAACAAGAAAGGAAACTTTGAAGAGGAAGTTTTGATTCCCACAGTGGGGACGTTCTCCCAGGGTCTAGCTGGGTCCCCGTAAATGGGAGCACCACCCAGAACAGTGATGCTAGCAGGGCCTTCCTGCCAGGCCCCTCTTAAATGCCCCCTGGGGTTAGCTTTTTGTCATCAGCCCAAGGTCATCTGGCAGCTTTTCCTCACAGCCAAGGGACACAAGGCATGGACGGCACCCCCAGCCCTCCCAGGAGCTCACAATATTGGACAGAAAATATCAGGTTGGTGCACAAGTAATCAATTTCATCTGCACCAGTCTAATAAGACAAGGCACACACGTCTTCAGGGCGGTTCTCATTATGTTTGAGTTTATTCATGTGGCCAAGTGATGAACTGAGAAAGGAGGGATCATTTCTCAAAGGCTGCCGGAGGGAGGATGCTGCCTCCACAGGAATCTTTTTATACAGTTGATACCAGGGCATTACATATTAAGACTATCAATAACAGTTGACTACAAATTCTCCCGGAGGAGAGCGGAGAATTCCTGTTTATTTCCTCAACCAGGAGCAGCTAGTCCTGCCGTCAGGCTGGGTGGCTCCCTATGTTCCCTGGCGGGAGCCCAGCTAAGCTGAGGTTTGCCCGCCATGCTGGGAGCTGAGGCTCGGGGAGGTTTCCTGCGCCCAGGCCTCCCGCTGGGAGGCAGGGGCCCAGGTGCATCGCAGCCGAGCCTCTGGCTTCCAACGTTCCTCCTTTCTCTGCCTGTCCTGACAGGGAAGACCACCCCTGGCATCCACACCATGGCCTTCCAGAGCATTACTTCCTGCAACCCCGACCTCCAGAAGGTCCTCTTTGGCCACATGCTACTGTCCGGAGGGACGGGCTCCTGCCCCGGCCTGCGATTACGGATGCAGAGGGAAATCTCGGAGCTGGTGTCCCCTACAGTTTATGTGAAGGTGAGGCTTCCCCAACCCATCCCCTCTGGGAGCACCTCAGGTTCATTCCACAGATATTTCTGGAATGCCTCCGATATGCTGGGCATGGCTTCTGGCACCTGGGAAGTCCTCAGAGCTTTTACTCTAGTTCCGGGGTGAAGCAATAAATGACATAAATAAACATGAAGGGGACATGAGTGGCATCTCAGGAGGGCCGTGGTCCACGGGCAGAGTGTAGCACAGGACGGGGTGGGGGGCAGTGTGGGCAGGGTGGGAGGGAGTGTGGGCAGGGTGGGAGGGAGTGTGGGCAGGGTTGGGGTGGAGGGGTGGAGGGGAGTGCGGGTAGGGATAGGAGGGGGCGTGGGTGGGGGTGGGAGGGAGTGCAGGCAGGGTTGTGGGGGGAGGGGAGTGCGGGTAGGGATGGGAGGGGGCATGGGTGGGGGTGGGAGGGGGCGGGAGCAGGGGTGGGGCACTGGCAGGGGTGGGCTGCTGGATACAGGGTGGGCCAGAGTGGGCCTCCTCAAGAAGGTGGCATTTGGGTAAACACTTGAAGTAAGGGTGAGCCATGTGGATATCAGGGAAGAGCGTGCAGCTGGTGGGAACAGCCCAGGCCCCGGCTCAGAAGCTGCTTCCCGGAGGAAGGGTTGGCTGGGGCTGAGTGAGCAAAGGCAATGGGAAAGCGAGGTCAGAGACGCTGCAGAAGGACATTCCCTCCAAGAGGGGCTGGAGACCTCTGGCAGGGTCCCACGGAGGAGAGAGATTGTCCTAGCAGGTGCTGGAGGACGGCTCAGGCTCCTGTGCAGAGAGAAGACTGTCATAGGGACACAAGGTGTGGACAGTCAGGGCATTAAGACTGTTGGGATATTGGGGCTGACAGGACGCTGCGACCTTGGGGTGTGGGACCACCAGGATTTGGGGGCTGCTGAGATGTCAGGACCGCCAGCAAGTCTGGACTGCGGGGATGCGGGGATGTTGGAACTGCCAGGGTGTCAGGACTGCTGGGATGTGGGACACACCTGGCCTGGCTGGCTGGGGCAGGAGGGGCAAGGTCACTCACTCACTTCCGGTTGAGCCCAGCAGCTGCCTCATGAACGCAGCCTCCTTTGGTGGAATGAAAGCACTCTTCCCCCGTGGGGGCCCCACCTGGGGCTGTCCCCAGTGGACACCTTCTCTGGCTTCCTCTGTGTCTGCGTCTGGCCTCACAGCCTCTGCTGTGGGGTCTCTGGGGGTTGTCACTGCAAGGTGTCCCTGTCGAGCTGGCCCTGAATCCTGCCCATCTCACCAGCTGGGCCTTGAGCTGCCTGCAAACCCCACTGGCCAACTGCAGGGCACTCTGTGATGGGGACTCCTGCAGGTGCATGAGAGACTCTCACCAGAGCGACACCCGCATCCCCCTGGGGCCTGTCACCAGGGTTCATGACCACCCTTTGTATGCTCCACGGGGGCAGGGCGGGGGTGGATCTTCATCTTCCAGACACCAGGGTGGGCAGGGGCATGAGCGGCCATCTCAGCACCTCTTGTCCTCCCTAGACATGTCTTTCGGCCCTTGTCCCCTCTGCTCCAGCTGCCACTGTGGAACAGGGCACTGCAAGGTGACCTCCTCCAGAGTCTGGAGTCAGGAGGCATGGACTTACTCCCTTTTGCCTGCGGCCCCCCAAACTTCTCTGGAGGATTCTATCCTCCACCACCTCACCCCCAACCCTAAGGGCTTGGGGTTGCAGGCAGACGTGCTCAGAGGGAAGGGTCCGGCACAGGTCCTCAGAGATCTTCGGCTGCCTCTGAGCCTCTCCTTGCCTGTCTGATGGCGTTCCCTGCACCATCCCTTCCTTGCTCTGCAGACCAGGGTAAGATTTGAAGGAGAATGCGCAGCAGGGATGCCTGTCCTGGGTGGTCCCTATCCTTCCTCCACAGCCACAGGGAAGAATCAGGAATTACAAATGCATCAGTCAGGATTACGCAGAAGTGTCTTCCCACTGCCTCCTCACTTCCCCAGTCTTCAGCCCTCTTCATAGAGATCATAAACATTCGTAGGACCCTGGAACACTTGTCCATTTCCTCCCTGAGTCTTCTGCTCTCGTTAGATCTTCTTATGTAATATCACAGGCATTTACATTCCATTAAACCTTCGCCCCTCCCACCTTCCGACTCCAAAGCTCCCACTTCATAACCTGCTTCTGGTCTCCCTCCTCACGGCTCTCTGGACCACTCTTGTGTGTAATGAGCTTTGACTGAATCAGAGCAGAAGGCTACTGCTCAGCCCAGCATAGAAAACAAATTGAAACTCAGTATCATCCTTTTGTAACTTGCTTTTTCTCTCTTTCTTTTCTTTCCTTTATTTATTTATTTGAAACAAGGTCTCACTGTCACCCAGGCTGGAGTACAGTGGCATGATCACAGCTCACCGCAGCCTTGACCTCCCAGGCTCGGGTGATCCTCCCACTCAGCCTCCCAAGCAGCTGGGACTACAGGCACATTCCTCCATGCCTGGCTAGTTTCTCTGGTTCTGGTCTTGAACTCAAGGCTCAAGCGATCCACTTACCTCAGCCTCCCAAGTGTTGGCATTCTAGGTGTGAGCCAGGGCGCTCAGCATGCTTTTATAAGTTTCTTGCAGAGGGCATCTTTGGGCCGTCTCTGTCCTGCCAGCTTGTGGCTGGGCTGCCTTTGCTCCAAGCCCTCTCATCCTCCTAAGTGCTCAAAGTGCCCTTCACCCCCGGCTCCCACCAAAAACTCTCCTGGAAGCTTGATGATGATGTCACCCGTTTCCCGCTAGCTGGTTGTGACTTAGCTCTTCTGTGTCTGCTTTCCCTCCTGCTAAGCCGTCTCTGCAAGAGGCACCATGGCAGATTCTCCTGTAATCATCCCCAGAGCTCATTAAATTGAGGTAAAGAGAATCCTCTCCCCGAAACGAGCTCATCATCCACCTTGAGAGAACAGCTAGTTTCAAGGGGCCAACTTTCCAGATAATCATTTCTCCCAGCAATCTCAATCTGCTGTAATGAACGTTCTTCAGCTAAAACTCTGTCCGTTATTTCCTCTTATTTCTGCAGAGTGTTATTCCACCCTCAGATCCTACATCATTTCTAGATGTAGATTTTGGAGTCAGAAGCACGCACAATTTGAGGTTTTTTGAAAGGACGGACCAACTGCCCACAGAAACATCCAGCCTCCCCTCTGTCCCGCGAGGACTGAGTGAGCTCCGGGCCACGTCCGCACCAGCACAGGGTCCTTTGTTCTCAAAACCCCTGGGCACCTGGATAAATGGAGAATAAATATATGGAGAATATATATTTGTTTTGTTTTTGTTTTTTAAACATACTTCCTGTAAATATTCATTCCAATCCTTCAGCCATCTTCTGCTGGTGATTTGCTTTCTTTTTTGAGATGGGGTCTCGCTCTGTTGCCCAGGCTGTAGTGCGATGGTGTGATCTCGGCTCACTGCAACCTCTGCCTCCCGGTTCAAGCAATTCTCCCTGCCTCAGACTCCTGAGTAGCTGGGATTACAGGCGCCCGCCACCACACTCAGCTAATTTTTGTATTTTTAGTAGAGATGGGGTTTCGCCACGTTGGCCAGGCTGGTCTCAAACTCCTGACCTCAGGTAATCCACCCGCCTCGGCCTCCCAAAGTGTTGGGATTACAGGCGTGAGCCACTGCACCCAGCGGCTTTGCTTTCTTCTTAACACTCACCCCATTCCAGTCTCGTTTGGTTGTGCGTGTTTGTTTAGATAAGATGCACGTGAAGTCATCGCCTGATTGAGGTGACAGCCCCTCGGTGGAAGAGGCTCCCGGGTGCCTGGCATCTGCCCTTTCTCTGCCTGATGCCCTGATTCTAATCATGTTTTTTTCCCCCTCCTGACTCTTCCTTTTTATTTTTATTTATTTATTTTTTTTAGCTATAACGATACATTTTTTTCTTAACCAATGCCAGCAAGTGGTTTCCAAGCCGAGCGCTGTTCTGTGGTGTGACAGCCGGGAGACACTGGGCAGCTGAGTCAGAGAGCGCCTCCTCCCTTCCTGTCCCCGGTGCCTTCAGTTTCCCAAATCTCCATTCAGTGCTTGGTGCCTTCAGATCCCCGCACAACGCAGGCGCTTCCTGTGTCTTAGAATCATAAGCATGTCCTGTATCGTATACCTAAGTGCCTTAAGTTCCTGAACCTGTGAAAATGACAACTGCCTGACCTTGAGCAAGTGACCTTAGCCTTCCTGAGCCCCGGGGGCCCCTTTTTATTTATTTTTACTTATTTTTATTTTTTATTTTTTGAGATGGAGTTTCACTCTTGTTTTCCAGGCTGGACCACAGGGGCACGATCTCAGCTCACTGCAACATCCGCCTCCCAGGCTCATGCGATTCTCCTGCCTCAACCTCCCAAGTAGCTGGGATTACAGGCGCCTGCCACCACGCCTGACTAGGTTTTGTATTTTTAGTGTAGATGGGTTTTCACCATGTTGGCTGGGCTGGTCTTGAACTCCTGACCTCAGGTGATCTGCCTGCCTCGGCCTCCCAAAATGCTTTATAGTGTGATTTACAGGGATTACAGGTGTGAGGCACCACTCCTGGCCTTTATTTTCATTTTGTGAGACAGGATCTCACTCTGTTGCCCAGGCTGGAGTACAGTGGCACAATCACAGTTCACTGCAGCCTCAGCCTCCCAGGATCAAGCAATCCTCCAGCCTCAGCCTCTCAAGAAGCTGGATCCACAGGTGCACACCACCATGCCTGGCCCCTGGCATCAGACAGAGAAAGGGTCAACGCCAGGCACCACAGAGCCTCTTCCACCAAGGGGCTGTTACCTGGATCAATGACACATGGGGTAGAGACTTTCACTTCCTCCCAGCCCAGAGGTGACCTGCCTCGGTATAAAAAACACTACTCTCTCTCCTAAAATAGAAATGGAAAGAAATATACCCTTTGTGGGTGTTGTCATGAAAACAGGAACCTGGGAAGACTGAGAGGAGGCCCTAAGAGCTCCACATGGCAATCTTGAAGGAATTTCTCAGGGGGTTTCATGACTAGTGATTGGTTGATTTTACTTATCTGTGGTTTCTAATTTTTCCACAAAATATCTATGCCTTAGGCACAGTCATTCTCTATGAATAAGTGTGTTACATGTTTTAAAATGCCAAGGGCATGAGTCCTGTGTGCTCTTATTCATTTTATCTAATAGTTTAAAGCTACAGGCCAGGCATTACACCTGTAATCTCAGCACCTTGGGAGGCCGAGGCAGGAGGATCGCTTGAGGACATGAATTTGAGGCCAGTATTGGGCAACATAGCAAGACCATTTCTACAAAAAAAAATTAAAGTATTAGCCAGACGTGGCAGTGTGCACCTGTGGACCCAGCTACTCAGGAGGCTGGGGCTGGAGGATTGCTTAAGCCTGGGAGGTCGAGGCTGCAGTGAATTGTGATTGTACTACTGTACTTCAGCCTGGGCAACAGAGCAAGACCCTGTCTCAATGTATAAATAAAAAAATAAAGCTACAGGAAGTAGGCACGGACTGTTTGACATCTTCAATGGCAAATCATAGACAGTATTTGCCATGGGGGAGAGACGGCTGCCCATGAAGTTCTCTCAGGTGCAGACGTTTTGTGTCCGCATTTCAGAGTGGCATTTTGATTTTGCTTTCTTCTCTCTCCTCCCGCCCCCTCTGCACCTCTCCTTCCCTCCTCTGCCCTCCACTCTGCCTTCTGCCTCAACCCCATCCAGGTGGCCACCTGTCCATATTCCGTCTATGGTGCTTGGGTAGGTGGCTCCATCTTGTGCTCACTGTCCACGTTCAAGGACATGTGGATCACCAGCAAGGAGTACAAGGAGATGGGCTCTTCCATCATCAGTAGAAACAGCTTCTGACATGTGGCTTTCAGGACCCTGTCATCAGTGCCTTTTTCACCAACTGCAGGATGAGCCTCGTTGCAGCTGAACATATCAGAGCTCAGAGCCAGCTCAAAGGCAAAGGTCCTTCCTCCCCAAAACTTCCCTAAAGAAAGTGAATAAAGGATGGACTCTGTCTCTTTGTCTGAGCTGGGCTGGCAGCAGCACGGGACACTCACTACGCAGTGTCACAGGACACTCGCTACGTGAATGCAGAGTGGTGGAGGAGAGGGAACTCCTGGCTCTTCCTGTGTATCAGTCAGGATGGTGAAGCTGTGCTACAGTGACAAGCATCCCCCAAACTCAGTGCCATGAAAGTCAGTATCTCTGTCACACTGCATGTCCACTGAAGGTCAACAGGGGCTGCCCCCACATCATCCTCACTCAGAATCCAGTGATAAAGCAGACCATCAGAGACGTTGTCATCCATTGTGAATGGGCAGAAGAGTGTGCCGGTGGGTCTTACATTGGAAACTAAGTCCATCCATCCAGAAAAGCCACAGGGCACAGCCCTGATTAATTAGCCAGACAAGTGACACAGAGCCACTCAACCCCAAGAGGCAGGAAATGCCATCCTACCACAGGCTTGATGTACCCACACGGGCAGAACAGCACGGATGCTTTTGCCTCGTGAAGGCACGATGGAGGCAGTACCCATACCAGGGGCATCACGTCCTCCAACGAGTTTAATCCTCATGATGCTGCTGTGAGGTTGGTTTCATCAGAGCTGATTTCATGAGGCAGGAACTGGCACTAAGAGAAGTAAATGAACTTGATCGAGATAATTTAGGTAGTAACAGGGAGTTTAAATCTGTAAATAGCATCTAGTAAGCGTGCCGGGGAGCACAGAGAGAACTAGGGAGAGAAAAGAAAACAGCTCAACAAATAGAAGACACATGTTTTCAGTGTAGAGGGGCCATGGAGGGCTTCACAGAGCCAAGAAGGGTCCCACATGCAGACACTAATGGAATTTCAGAATATCAGAAATAACGACGTCTAGAGGCTTTGAGAGAAATCAACAAAAGCAGGTTCACTTAAAGTAGGGTGACCAGAAAAGGACCTTCAGAAGCGTAACAAATGTTCAGTATAGGCATGTCCCAAACGTTGTATGTTATCTCTGCTTGTTAAATCTGGCACCGCCATCACAAGGAAAAGTGACTGCAGTTATTATTATCAGAGTTCTTGACGGCAAATTGTTGTGGAAGTCAAGAGAAGAAAACCGTCAAGTTAACGGGAAGGATTACTTTGAACCTACATTTTCCCATCGGTAGAAATGAAAATAATAATAATCATCATAACTTGGGTACAGGCAAACACTCTGAAAATTTACCAGCTACATGCTGTCTCCAAAACCAGAAGCAGAGATTATTATCTACAAGGTGGATACACAAATAAACCAAGAAAGGAGACAGTGGTGGGTTCAGAAACGGGCCAAACTCAGAGTTAAATCTAAATCATTACTATAGATTTTTAAACAAATAATAACTCTGGAACGAAAATCTGAGATGATTCAGAGTGGGGGGTGAAGTGATCGGGAGGCAATGAGGAAGAGAGAGAGAGAGTGGGGAAAAGATGGTGTTCCTTAACTCCAGACGTCGATGGGGAGATTCCGTTTAGACATGTTTGTAATCTAAGAACAGCAGGAGACTGTGCACCGTGCAGACCCAGGTTCTGTTTACTGTCCTCAGCATGTATTGTTGGCCTGTACCGTCCTCCCAAACCCTCCACCTGGCCCGGGTGATTTGCGTAGGAGAAAGATACCATTCTATCAGCTACGACTGTAATGAAAAGTAACCTTTTAATCAATGCATTGTCATTACACATGTCAAACACTGGGGTTGTTTTTCTTCAGTTATCAGATGGTTATAACTTTTTTCTGGCCTGAGAACAAGTGTTTTTATTCCAATAATTTAGAAAAAGTTGGTTGCTCGCCACTGTCTTTACATTGGCGACGTGGTGTGAGGCAGCCATGGATCTGCGGGCTGAAAACCACATAGACAGAGCTTCTCGAGGTGTAGTCTCACTCCGAGTGAGGACTGGCCCATTCTCACACTGCTATTAATAACTTCTCTGAGACTGGGTGACTTTTATAACAAAAAGAGGTTTAATTGACTCACAGTTCCACATGGCTGAGGAGGCCTCAGGAAACCTACAATCATGACAGAAGGAAAAGCAGGTACCTTCTTCACAAGGCGGCAGGAGAGAGAACATGTGAAGGAAGAATAGTCAAACTCACAGAACCATCAAATCTCATGAGAACTCATTCACTCTCATGAGAACAGCGTGGGGGAAGCACCCCTAAGATCCAATCACCTTTCTCCCTTGACATATGGGGATTACAGCTACCTCCTTCAACATATGAGAATTACAATTCGAGATGAGATTTGGGTGGGGACACAGGGTCAATCTGTATCAGGGTGGCAGTGGTCAAATATGTAAATCAAGATACTTTTAAGGTGGTAAACCTCCATGTAATTCTTTTATTACTGTCTTAGTCTGCTT